CAACTAACACTTCTATCCTTACTTTCAGCCCTTTATAATTGCTGGTATTCTACCCAGCTTTTCAAGTGCCAATGTATATGCTACCCCTTTGGAAAGTCTTTTCAAAATTTCCTCAACAAAGTTTATTTTGTCTATCCTATCAACACCCACAGGAGTCTATGCCTCTTTTACTTTCATGCTCTGCCATGTTTATTGAGTATCTACTCTGTGCCAACCCCTATTTTGGGAGGTATGTAGATTTCCGATGCAGAGTATAGGTTCTGGGTCAACCTTCCCAACTCTGTCACTATCTCTGTGATCGTGGGTTCTCTTTAAGTCTCAGCTGTGCTCCAGTAAATTAAGGATAGCACTTATACCCACTTCATGGTGCTTTTATAAAGTTTAAATTGGATAATGCCATTAAACACAGTGTCCAATGCACAGTAAAAACTTTACCTGTTCTTCTGATTCTTTTACTGTCAGCTCTTATGACTGTCTGGCTGCCTGGCAGGGACTGTATCTCCTGGAATAACCAGCAATACTCACTTCCCACAGTTTATACTCAATAACGGTTGCATTAGAACAAATCAGACTGTCTGACCACCTGAAAAATCAATAGATCACTTATAGCAGGGATCAGAAAACTTATTCTATAAAGGGGTTTTGCAGATCTCTGTTGCAACTATTCAACTCCACTGTTGCAGTGCAAAAGAAATCATACCCAATAATTCAATGAGTAGATGTTCTAAAAAACTTCATTTACAGAATCAGGTGGTGGGCCAGATTTGGACAGGCCAAGTTCAATGAGCCCTGACTTATAACAGAAGATATGGGGCAGCAAAACTTAAAAACTGCAGCTTCTACTCATTAGTTTACGTATTTGCTTCAGGAACTCTAGTCTCTTTTTGCCATCTGTGATGCTGAATTTTATGTAATATGTTCTGAATCTGTATCCAGTATATAGTCTGGTTTCTCTCATATTCATAGGTCCAGGGATCGAGGGATAGAAATGTGAGTGGCACCACTCACTATTACCCCTGTCAATGCACTAGCAAAATGTTTGCTTCCTGTTTCCTCGACTATGCTTTGCTGGCCTAGAGGTCTTAGTTCCAAAGGGAAGAATGCTCCCAACAGGAGAGACAACAATGATTCCACTGAACTGAATGTTAAGATGCCACCTAGCCACTTTGTGCTCATGTTTCTACTTCAACAGGTATAAAAGGAAGTTATTGTGCTAGTTGGGGTGATTGATACTGACTACCAAGGAGAAATTGCATTACTACTTCACAGTGGAGGTAAGAGAGAGTATGTCTGAAATACAAGAAACACCTTGCCCTGTGATGAAACTCAGTGAAAAACTATAACAATCCAATTCAGGAGGGGCTGATGTCTCTGATCCATCAGGAATGAATGTTTGGGCTGCCTTATCAGGTAAAGAATGAACCACAATCAGGTGAGGTGGTTGCTAAAGCCAAAGGGAATATGGATTGGGTAGTAGTAGAAGGTAGTTACAAATATCAGCTATGACCATATGACCAGTTACAGAAGAAAGCATTGTAAGTTGCCATGAGTATTTCTTTCTTATCTTTTTGAGTATGTTTGCATGTGGGTGTGCAAGTATTTGTTTTCTTCCTTCTTTCATCGCTTTATCATATGTCACAATATATACTGACTTTATAGCATGGTATTTAAATACTGTTAACATTACATCACAGTATTTAAATGACAGCATATCAAGGAAATGCTGGAAAAGTACTTTGTATCCTTCTCTCAGGAAAAGGTTAGTGCTTTTTTATGAAGAAGAGTTGTATCCTGCCAGGTGAACTTATGACCTTGTTATTGTCTTAATTTGGAGATTAAATAGGGATTAAGGATATGTGTATGGGTGACAAATTGACAAGGGGTGGATTTGTGATGGTTAATTTTACATGCCAACTTGACTAGACCAAAGTACCCAGATATTTGGTCAAATATTCTAGATGTTTCTGTGAAGGTATCTTTTAGAAGAGACGAATATTTAAACAAGTAGACTCAAAATAAAACAGATGACCCTCTATAGGTAGGTGGGATTCATCCAATCAGTTGAAGGCCTTAATACAAAAAAAAAAGAAAAAAAAGACTGACCTTCCTTCACTGAAGGGGAACATCTGGCCAGCAGATTGCCTCCAGACTTGAATTGCAACTCTTCCCTGGGTCTCTAGCTTGCTGGCATACCCTGAAAACTTTTAACTTGCATCTCCACAATCTCGTGAGCCAATCTCTTTAAAAAAAGCCTTAATCTTTCACTCAGTGTCACTCAATTCAACCCCCTGGCCTTTCTTATTGATTCTATTTCTCTGGAGAACCCTAACATACAATCTTTTTTGAAATCCTACATTTATACTTTGCATTCCTGCATGATAGAACACTTTATGACTAAGATACCTTGAGTAAAAGAAACAATCACTGACTTATTCTCGCATAGTAAAACAACTCTATTTTTAAGTGTCACAATAAAAAGCAATAGAGCAGATAATTAGTTATGCAAAGCAACTTGCAGTTCTAAAAATATTCAGTTCTGGGTTATATTAATTATAGGTTCTATGGCATCACTTTAGGGTGAAGGAGACTAGTTTTAGGCCTAGACATTTGAAAACATAATGTCTAATATTTAAAAAACCTAAGTATGTGGTATTCACATCTTTTTTTATTTTTATTTTTATGGAATCCCACTTTGTTGCCCAGGCTGGAGTGGGTTTTTTGATAGAATCCCGTTTCGTTGCCCAGGCTGGAGTGCAGTGGTGTGATCAGAGCTCACAGATGCTTCAAACTCCTGGGCCCAAGTGACCCTTCTGCTCAGTCTCCCAAGCAGCTTGGACTACAGGCACGCGACACCATGCTTGGCTAACATGTAATGTGTTTTTAATTAGGTTGGGCAAGGTCTTTAGTTAGGACCTAAAATTTAGTTGGGATTTAGTTTAGGCCTAACTTAATTTTCTTCGGTATCTGCCAGACTGATATAAAGGGCACAGCTGGTGACTGAGAAAAGCTGGCCTATGGAGGAATGCAAATATTTTGACTTTTGTGGTTTTCTCCACCATGCTCAAGCTAGGGAAATTGGCTGACAGAGAGAAATCCAGCTTGGAGAGACCCAAGACCACATCGACCATCACAGGTAAAGCAATTTCCCAACCTGCCTTCCTGTGGCAGCTTTCTCAAAGGTCACAGCCATGGCTGAACAAACTTGTCTATCCTCCCACCAAAGAGAGCTATAAACAGGAGGCATTCATCTATTCCTAACTGATTTTTTTTTTGAGTTGGAGTCTCACTCTGTCACCCAGACTGGAGTGCAGTGGCCGCTCTTGGCCACCGCAGCCTCGACCTGCTGGGCTCCGGCGATCCTTCCGCCTCAGCCTTCCAAGTAGCTGGAACTACAGGCGTACGCTACCACACCCGGCTCATTTTTTATTTTATTGTAGAGATGAGGTCTTGCCAAGTTGCCCAGGTGGGTCTTGAACCCGCTGATTTTTTTTAAAAAATGTGCTCTATGAGACAGTGCAACAGAATTAGCTTGACTGGGCTCCAGATCTTCTACCAAGACCTGGTTTCTTGGGCAAAAAAGAAGAAACGATTGCACATTCCTACCGATCTTTCCCCAACCCAGTTCTGCACAAACTCATCCCAAGCTCTTCAAACAGTCCTTTGTGCTTTCTGTGCCAGTGCTCTGCCTGGAATCCTCTGTAGCACTCTACTTTCTACTTGTCCAAGTCTTGGGTAGCCTTCTTGTTATCAAGCCTTACGTCTCCTCTCATTCCTGAGACGACCTCTAACTCCCTGCTGTGTGTTCACTTTGAATGCTTTCTGCCGTGGCTATCTCTACTGCATACGCTGCAGTTAGTATTAACAATAACAATAGCAGCAATAACAGCAGCCATCATTTACCAAGCATTTAATAAGTACCAGTCTTGGTTTCAATCGTTTAACATATGGCAGAAAAACTAAAACAACCATATGAGTCAAGTACTAATACTTGCCTATAAGTAGGGTTTAGAAAGTAACTTGCACAAGGTCACAACTAGTAGGACATAGAAATATGATTAAGATCTAGGTCCATCAGATTCTCCATGATCCATATCCTCTCTCCTCACTGAATGTCTGCATGAGAAGGCTAGGTCCATGCCTCATACGGCTCTTTGTCTTTAGGGCTGGGCTGAGCATTCAAGTGGTGTTTGCTGACGATCATGTAAAGGGGCTTTTCTGATTGCTCTAGCCAGGACTTCCAATACTATATTGAACAAGGGGTGAGAGTGGGCATCCTTGTCTTGTTCTCGTTTTCAGGGGAAATGGTTCCAATTTTTGTCTGTTTAGGAGTATGCTGGCTGTGGGTTTCTCGTAGATGGCTTTTACTATTTTGAGGTATGTTCCATGTATGCCTAGATGTTCGAGGGTTTTTATCAAGAAGGGGTGCTGGATTTTATCAAAAACTTTTTCTGCATAATCCTTTTCTAAATACTATAAGAAAAGGATTGACAGTGGTGGGAAACTATGGGGGGGCAGAGAGGGGAAGGGAGGTGGGATTAATGGTAGGGTACCTACACAATGGATATTTGTATACTTAACCCTTAACTGTACCCTACAATTTTAAAATAAGAAATGCGTTAAAAAAAGGGGGTTTAAAGTTTAGCACATGAAAAGCAGGTAGAGAAAGCAGGTAGAGAAATCAGGGAGGAGGGTTGCGTTCTAACCAGGAATGAAATGCCAATTAGGGATTATAGACTGTTAATCATAAAACTTGAAATACTACATAAGAAGGACTAAATATGTGTGTACACGTCATGTAATGACTTAGACAGAGCATGCTATCTATAACAAAACTGACATTAGAAAAATTTAATGCCCCAAAGTAAAATACACACAAACACAAATGCACAGATAATGAGACACAGATAACACATCTACATTCCAAGTATATCTAAACTTTACAGACTTCTAATGATTAGTTTTGAACAAAGTGAGACAATATCATCTTTTATATTACATACCTTCTGGAATACATTGTCCAAGAAAAAATTTATAACCCTTGCAGCACTTTTTCCTAAGAGACAAACAAACAAAAAAGCATTTAAAATGTGATATTATATTAAAAATAAAATTCTTTTCAGTTATCGTTTTTTGGATGGAATAATGTGTGTCCCGCATACACTGATGCATAAAGCAAAGTAAGGGTAGATTATTTTCAAGACAATCTAAGAGTAAAAGGAAACATTGAAGAAGGTTTAAGATGACTGACTGGAGGCAGCTAGAGTGTGTTTCTCCTACAGAGTAAACCAAGATAGAGTTTCCTTAACACCCAGAGAAGAGTAGGACCAGCGGTGTACCCCACGAATTATCAGAGAAGTGATAATAGTCACGTAAAGCAAAGAAGGGAAAAATCAGTCAATCTGAGTTGGAACTGACCAGACTCTTGGCTGGATCACAGCACAGACCACTGGCAGCCTCCAGACCCAGTGGGGAAGGTAAGTGAAGGGAATTCAGGAATTCGGTGCTCTTGCCACAGACTTGGAGGGCCCCCTGAATCTTGCAGGACTCCAATCCTTCCTGGGAAACTGCCTTACCCACAGCCGTGCTCTGCTGAAGACCACGTGGAGTGATGCAGGAAAAAAAACCCTGAGCTGCTCCAGGCACCATATCCCCAGGAACTCAACCCCTGCAAACAGCTGCTTTCTAGCTGGCCTGGGAGGGGATAGGTCCCAATGGGAAACTCCACGGCAGCAGCCAGCTGGGACAGCTGCCCTGAGAACACCTGAGGCTTTGAGGTCGGGCTGCACGTTGACATTTGGATGCAGACGGCCTGAGGCTAAGGGAGGAGCTGGGTGGGTCATTTTGTCACAGCAGCATTGCCCTAGCAGCTGGGGACTCCCTCCCAATTCCCAATGGGGTAGGCAAGAGTGTACTACGGTGGGGAGATTGAGCTTTATTCCCCTGCACTTCCCTCGAAGACTCAGAGATTTTCGGTAATCCCTATAGCTCCGCCCACTGCCTAGGTTGGCTGTACATTTCCTCGAGCCACACAGGCCAGATGGAAAGCCACAGCCACCATCACTGTTGGCTCTCTCCCACAAGCATCACCTCCTGGCCAGAGGTCAACAGCACAGCCCACCACATCTGATATAATACCACAGCTCTGGGGTAGATCTGAACACAGTCCGAGCTAACACCACAATCCAAACCACCCAGCCATTCAGGATGCCTTGAGCCTGTATAAGGAGCCAGCACAGGACTGCCACAGGTGGCAATTGAGCAACTCACAACAAGGCTATATATAACCAAGGGAACCCTACAGTGCCTATGCCAGCCCCCTGCCAAATTCCAATAGAAGCAATAGTCTACCTAAATGAGAAAGAACCAGAAAACTAATTCTGACAATATGAAAAAACAGAGTTCTTCAACACCCCCAAAAGGTCACACTAATTCTTCAGCAATGGATCCTAACCAAAATGAAATGTTTGAAATTCCAGAGATAGAATTCAGATGGTTGATTATAAAATTGCTCAATGAGATTCAGGAGAAAGTTGAAAACCAACATAAGGAAAAAAAAAATTTAGGACATGAATGTAAAATTCTACAAAGAGATAGACACCTTAAAAAATAAAACAAGCTGAAATTCTGGAAATAAAAGAATCATTTAGGAAAGTACAAAATGCAGTGGAAAGTGTTAACGGTAGACTATAATGAGTAGAAAAAAAGATCTCTGAACTTGAAGACAAGGCTTTTGAATTAACCCAATTAGACAACAATAAAGAAAAAAGAATAAAGAGAACGGAACAAAGTCTCCAAGAAATGTGGGGTTTACGTAAAACTTAAGAATCATACATGTTCCTGAGGAAGAAAGGAAAACATCAGGTTTGGAAAACCTATTTGAGGGAATAATAGAGGAAAACTTCTGGCTTTACTAGAGATTTTAACATCCAGATACAAGAAGTCCAAAGAACCCCTAGAAGACTCATTGCAAAAAGGTCATCCCCAAGGCATAGAATCATCAGGTTATGCAAAGTTTATGCGAAAGAAAGAGTTTTAAGAGCACTGAAACAAAAGCATCAAATAACGTATAAAGGTAAACCTCTCAGACTAACAGTAGACTTCTCAGAAGAAGCCTTACAAGCCAGAAGGTACCGGGGCTACATCTTCAATTTCCTCAAACGGAATAGTGGACAGCTAAGCATCTTGTATCTTGCAAAGTGAGGTTTCATAAATGAAGGAGAAATCAATTCTTTCCCAGACAAGCAAACACTGAGGCAATCTGTCACCACTAGACTGGCTCTATAAGAAATACTCAAAGGAGTTTAAATACGGAAACAAAGGCTGAAATACACCAGTAGAAAAACACTGAAAATCAGAAAACTCAGAGAGCTTATAGAAAACCCACACAGTAGAAAAAAATAAAGTAACCAGATAACAACTAGTATGATGAATGAAATAGTACCTTACATATTGTTATTAACCCTGAACATAAATGATCTTAATGCCCCACTAAAAAGATGTTGACTGGCAGAATGGATTAAAAAAACCACAATCTATCTACTGTCCTCAAGAGACCCACTGAACACTCAAAGACTCATACAGACTCAAGGTAAAGGGGTGAAAAAAAAAATCTACACAAATGGAAACAAAAAACAAGCAGGAGTAGTTATTCTCATATCAAATAAAACAGACTCGAAATTAACAACAGTAAAAGAAGACAAAGATGGTTATTATATAATGATAGAGGGATCCATCCAATGAGAAGACCTAACAATTTTAAATATATATACACCTAACACCAGATAACCCAGACTTATAAAACAAATTTTACTAGACCTAAAAAAAGAGATAGATAGCAACACAATAATAGTGAGAGACCTCAACACTCCACTGACAGCAATAGATATGTCATCAAGACAGACAGTCAACAAAGAAACATTATAATTAAACTGGACCCTAGAGCAAACTGATCTAACAGACACCTACAGAACATTCCACCCCCAAAATTTACAGAATATACATTTTTTTCATCAGCACATATAATGTTCTCCAAGATAGATCATTCGATAGGCCACAAGTTAAGTCTCAATGAATTAAAAAAAATCAAAATCATATAAAGCACCTTCTCAGACCACAGTGGGCTAAAACTAGAAATTAGCTCCAAGAAGAACTCACAAAACCAAACAAAAATATGGAAGTTAAACAATATGCTCCTGAGTAATCTTTGGGTCAACAATGAAGTCAAGATGGAAATTTTAAAAATTCCTCAAAATGGATGACAGCAATGAAACAAGTTATCAAAATCTCACAGACACAGCAAAGCTGTGCTCACAGGAAAATTTACAGGGCTTAAGGCCTACAATAATAAGATTAAAAGATTGCATATTGACAACCCAATGTCACAGGAATTAGAAAAACATGAACAAACCAAACCCAAAGCTAGCAGAAGAAAAGAAATAACAAAGATCAGATCAGAACTAAATGAAATTGAAATAAAAAATACAAAGGATCAATGAAACAAAAAGTTGGTTCTTTGAAAAGATAAACAAGACTGATAGACCAGTAGCTAGATTAAGAAATGAAGAGAGAAGATTTAAATGAACTCAATCAGAAGTGAAAATAGAAACATTACAACAGATACAACAGAAATACAAAAGATCATCCAAAATTATTATGAATACTTTTACAGACTAGACAACCTAGAGGAAATGGATAAATTCTTGGAAACATACAATCCCCCCAACCTTGAATTAGAAAGAAATAGAAACCCTGAACAGACCCATAACAAGTAGCAAGACTGAAACAGTAATTAAAAGTCTCCCCTCACCAAAAAATGTCCAGGACCTGATGGACTCAAAGTCATTTTCTACTAGCCTTTCAAAGAACTGGTATCAATTTTACCAAAGCTATTCCATAAGAAAGAAGATGACGAAATTCTCCCTAATTCATTCTACAAAGCAAGTATCACTCTGATGTCAAAGCCAGCAAAAAACACAACAAAAAACAAAATTATAGACCAACATCCCTGATGAACATAGACACAAAAATCCTCAACAAAATATATAGCAAACAAATTCAACAGCACATAAAAAAAAATCATACCAATCAAGTGAGTTTTATCTCAGAGATGCAAGGATAGTTCAACATACACAAGTCAATAAAGGTGATTTACTACATAAAGAAAATTAAAAACAAAAGTCATATGATACAGAAAAAGCATTTGATAAAATTCAGCATCCCTTCATAATAACAACACTTAGCAAAATAGACATAAAGGGAATGTTCCTCAAAATAATTAAAGTCATATATGACAAACCTACAACCAATGTTATTCTGAATGGAGAACAGTGGAATGCATAAACTTTCAGAACTGGAACAAAGCAAGGATGCCCACTTTTGTTTATTTTTTTTACTTTATTTTAAAGATGTGGGGTATAATTCAGGGTTAGGTATACAAATGTTCATTGTGCAGGTTCCCTTGTTGATGAGGGGTACCCCTCCCTCCCCTGGCAGTTCCCCTCAACTGCCAATCCCACCCTTCCTCCCCTGGCAGTTCCCCACTATTGCCCATCCCTTTCTTATAGTACTATGATAATTGTTCAAGGTCCGCTTATGAGTGAGAACATATGGTACTCTGTTCTTTGTTTCTGTGATAGATCACTGAGTATGATAGACTCTAAATCCATCCGAATTGCTGCTAAGTACATATGTTTGCCCTTCTTTATGGCTGTGTAATATTTCGTTGTGTATATGTACCACATTTTAAAAATCCAGTCCAGCTTTGATGGGCAGCATGGTTGATTCCATGTTTTTGCTATCGTGAATAGAGCTGCAACAAACATATGTGTGTAGGTATCTTTTTGGTAGAATGAATTGAGTTCCTCCAGGTATATTCTCAATAGAGGGATTCCTGAGTCATATGGAAGGTTTATTTCTAGTTCTTTCAGAAATCGCCACACTGTCTTCCAAAGAGAGGGACGCCCACTTTCACGGCTCCTATATAACATAGTGCTGGAAGTCCTAGCCGGAGCAAACAGGCAAGAGAAAGAAATACATGGCATCCAAATTGGAAAA